TAATCCTGATTCACCCATTGCATGGAGGGCAAGTCGTCATGCACTTTACACCTTATTGGCAGGTTGATCTCTTAAAAGAGGTTATCCCCGAGTACAAAGCATTTGTTTATCTTTCTAGATGAAGTTTGATTCTCATTAATATATAAGAAGCTTATAGGGAATCTACGTGGAAGGCTGCAGTTAAGGAAGAAATTTATGCACTAAAGAAGAACGCGTGAAATTTATGCACTAAAGAAGTTCAACTCAATTCAAGTGCTACTTTACCTGTATGCTAATCTTGATTGATCACTACAGCAATTAGATGTCAAAAATGCATTCCTAGATGGTGACATGAAAAAGAGGTGCACATGGAGGTCTCGCCAAGATTCAAGACTCATGAAAACAATGGCTAGGTAAGCAGACCGCACAAGTCTCTATATGGCTTGAAATCAGTTCTGGTTCAGTAATTGACAAAAGTAGTAAAGAAGTATGGGGTTTTTCAAAGTCAGACAGTCCACATCATGTTCAAAGCTTTTTGAAAGCCAACTTACAGTCCTATGTCACGAGAAAAAATGGAGATGCAGGAAAGAAAAGCCTTAGGTTGCCAAAGAAAGATATCAGAGACTCATGGGTAAACACATTTATCTATCCCACACAACAAGAAAAAGAAAATGAAAGTAAATCATTACTTTTGATGAACACCTCAATACCCTGCTAGGAAATAGATGTATTAGATCTGGTCTATGTTAAGAAACATAGAGATAGACTTTAAAAGATTTGGTTAAAAAGTATTAGAAAATATATTTTTTTTATCATGCTATAATTCATCACTCACTGCATTCATATTCGCGTCACGATTTCTATTCCATACACATAAATGATGTATATTAGTAGAGATAAAGTATAATTAAAAACTAAGGTTAAGCAAATAAATGGACAATTAAATTTAAGAGGATTTATATACATACCACACAATTTGTATATACTAACATGTCTAATGCCTAAAATTTGATATTTACATAACATCAAAATCATAAAATCACATAAAAAATACTGCTAACATTAACTTTTTTTAGTGAAAATGCCTTTTCATATATATATTTTTCTATGCAATTATGATAAAAAGTGCTATATAACTAAATAATAGAAGGTTTAAGTGTTGGATATGTAAATACATAATGTGGTAGGTATATAAATTCATATTACATTTAATTCTATTTTTCTAATAGAGTTATGTTTTACGAGAATTTTACAAGGGATGACAGTTTTTACATTTCAGAAGTATTACATTTCAGAAGTATAAAACTAAACTAGTTTTAAACTACAGAGTAATAAGTTAAAATAAATAATCAGGGTTAAAATCAAAGGAGCGTAAAATATGAATAAGAAACTTCAAAAACACTTGGAGAATACAGTAGAATGATTGAAAATAAAAAGACAGATTATTTACCCTGCTTCCTCTCTCTATGGAGTCATCTGGAATGAAACGAATTTCAGGAGTCAAACGTAACTTCATACGCTTCCCAAGTTCACTCCGGACATACTTAGTTTTTGCCTTTAGTCCAGCAATAGCCACCTCTTTACCTCTTTCATCTCCAAATACAGATACATATACCTTAACAACCTGCAATGAATGACAAATAAAAGGAACCAAGCGGTCGGAAAAGCATGATTTTATTATAACAGCAAACACTAAATTCGTCAAATGATAACTTCAATGCATAAAGACAAATAGATGAAAGCCGTGCTAAAACAACAACATAGCATATGACCCAAAATAGTATCCTTTTCAATTCAATCCTGACCTGTACATTTAACTGAAATTAACTAAAGCCAATTTCATGAATATCAAGCATGTAATGTTCAGTAGTCAAAAGTTTTGTTAATTGGCATATAATGTTCAACATTCAACAGCTTTGTCAACTAAATATAGCTCTCCATTAGGGGAAAATGGGAAAATGGGAAATTATTATCTGAGGAGTCCGGACGGGGTGAACCATCCGAATTTACTGCGTATTTTGTGAGTATTTATTGTGCATTTTCAAATAAGCAATAAATACTCACAAAATACGCAGTATGAGTATTATTGAGTATCTTGTTAGTATTTGCCGAGTTTTTTGTGAGTTTTTTTTTTCTTTTTGAGTACTTTGTGAGTATTTGCTGATTTGATGCATATTTTGTGATTATTTACTGCGTATTTGAAAATATACAGTAAATACTCACAAAATACGCATTAATCCGAACGGCTCTTCCTATCTGGACTCCACACAAAATAATTTCCCCTCAATTAGGAAAAATTATTAGGTGCGGAGTGCGCACCATCCGCACAAGCACTGGGTACCTAGTGGTACCCAGTGGTATCGAGTGCGGGTACCGCTAGGTATCCAATGCTTGTGCGAACGGTTCTTCCCGTCCGCACTTCGCACTAATAATCTCTCCTCCATTAGAAACTGTTGGCCTTCCATGGATTTTGCATTATCCGAGACGTCAAGAGATGCTATAGAACCCATTGTCATAAACCTCATTTACATCAAGGCTTGCTCAACCAATTACCACTTCCATATTCCATGGTTTACATCAGATTCAGTGCATCATTGGTTGCATGTAAGTGACATATTAGCAGGCTAAGATAGACTACAATGGTTGTTCAGTTGACAAGGGGAAGTGGGAAGTTGAGTTTGCCTTTTGCCCCATAAAGTTATATAAACAACTTTCAGACATTTGGTTTCAGCGTTATATACTCGAAAGGCAATTCCAAAATTTTGAAAGCAGTCGTAGGTATTATAAATACTTTATTTTAAAAAAAATTGGATAGCAGCTCTCTTATAGCTACCACATGCTAGCATATCTAATTATAAAAAGCAGCTTTACACCATAGATATTTGTACAATAGCAAGAAGTAGTAGCAAAATAAAAATATGACAGCAATCTAAAAATCAAAGCCGGGAGAAATTTGCTCTAAAAAGACCCTAAATATGTTAATCTCATATAAGCATACAGAACATTATTTATTAGAAGATGTATTATAACAAATGTATCTTCATAGAGGTTTAGATGCAGATGTACAAGCATCAAGCATGTGCATATATATACATTCTTACATAAATACATTCATATTAACAAAAAAAGGCCCCCACTTTGGTTTGGATTGTCATTGGATCGAATCATAAAATATTCATCTTTGTATTGCAAGGATAAGTCAACGTACATTAACAACTCTCCAAACCTCATACGCGTGGGAAGCATGAGCAGATCCACATGGGGGAACCAAGCGCACAATCCTCATTGGCTCGAATTTATTCCACTTTGTTACTGTTATGCCGGTCCAGCATGGACCGGCTCAACCTGGACCGGCCCAGCCGGTCCGGGTTTTCTCCAGGCGGAGACGGCCCAAAGACCAGGCGGAAGGAGGAAAGGGGGCTGGGGTGGGGTCCACTTGCAATTCAAACATGGTTTAAGTGTTTTTGGAGGGAGAAGGAAGGGTAGAGAAGTCCTTTTGCTTTTATTTTGTATTAGATTGTATTAATAGGGAGTTATGAGAGGATTAGGTTTTCATCTTGATTTTGAAAGGAGTTTTGTGTTCTAGGTTTTCTTGCTTGGGCTCTTGGCGTGGCCGGAGATTGTTGGAGAGTTGTTCTTCCTCTCGAATTGAAGAACATTGTATCTTGCTTTGGTTTTTATCATCTACTAAGGAAATACAATTATTTGCTATTGTTTTTCCAAAGTTTTCTCCCTTTTCTCTCAGCTTTTCCATTGATGGTGGCTGTTTTCTATTGAAAACAGTGAAATATTGGTGAATCGGGGAAGATCCGATAGGAATCGCTTGGAATATTCAAGTGGTACCTATCAGTTACCCAATTGAATGGCTTAACTCATCTTTCATCCCTCTTTATTTCAGGGCTTAGGATCAAAGGTTTGGCAAAAATCAAGACTTGAATAGCCAAATCTCAAAGAGAGTCAATCATCAATTTCAGTTGTCAAATTTGTAAAAAGAACATAAAAGAGTCTATTGTAAGGTATTTATTGTTTCTTTGTAAAAAGGAGGGCTCTTTTGGTATTTATTGTTTATTGTTTGTTATAGGTAGTAGGGTTTATGTTATGTTTTGTATAAAAAAAATTTATTTGATGGTTGCTATATTTTTCTTTTGGGAGGATTCCTATCGGCGTCGAGGTTGTTTGGAAGAGCCGACCTATCCCTCGAATTGTAGATCACATGTATCTTGTTTTTCATATTTAAGTTATAATCTAAAATCAGCCATTATTATTATTATTTATGCAATTTTTTCGATTATTCGTTTGTTGTTTTTGTCTCCAAGGTATATCAAATTGATTTTCGAGCACTTTTTTGGGACCCATGGAAACAAAGAAGGTGGAGGCGTTGGAAAGTAAGATGGAGCAAATCAAATCCGGCGTGGAGTAGGAGTTTTCATCCAAGGAAGGAAGGTTTTCATCCAAGGAAGAAAGGCTTTCTAGCCTAGAAAACATGATGAGGAAGTTGATCAAGATACAATCGAAGGCTTCGCCGGCTATTACTTGGGTTGAACTAAAGAGAAAGAAAATTCTGGAGAAGATGATGAGAAAGCTCTTGGAGATGCAATCAAAAACTCCACCAGTGATTTCGATGGCTAACCCTAACCAAGATTTATCTGAATTCCCTTGGCTGAATCTAAGGGAAAGGAGATCGGACAAGAGGAGTTTGACGAGGAGAGTTTCGTGCATCAAGAGCCTCCTCCTAGGGCTCTGATAAAGGGTGGATCTGGGTTTCTGAAAGGGGGGACAACAATGAGGGAATTGTGTGGTGGAGGTGGCGGGGGTGGCCGGCCATTATGGGAGACATTTCGGGCAAGGGGAGTGAGTGACCGGAGATATAGGGGGTCGAGCTGAATCATGGGATCGTTTCATGTAAGAACAGATCGAAGAAATGTGAGAGTCCCACCCTTGATATACAAGGGAAACATGAAGGGATCATGAAAACCGCTACATTGGAGGAGGAAGAAGCAATTGGGGTGGTAGCAATCATAGGGTGAGGAAGTTGATGCCAATATTTAAAGAGAAGGATACCTATGGGTGGGTGTACCGGGTAGAGATGTATTTCATGGTGAACGGGTTAAATGAGAAGGAGAAGTTTACGGCTACAAGACTATGTCTAGAGGGGAAAGCTCTAGCTTGGTTCCAGTAGACGATAGCATGGTCATTAACTGAGCAGCTGAAGAAAGCCATGAATAACATTCCATCATTCCACCTTGAGGATAAGGTGCGTCTTTGGGGGGAGTATTGTTACAGCTGCAGGCCAAGGAAGGCTGGATCGGCTGGCCTAGCAGGCAATTGAGGGGGCAGAACCTAGAACCAAATCCATGGAGATTTTGGCCCCCCTTTTGGGGACCAATAAAGCAATAATTCATTATGTTAGCAGGGGAATTAAGAAAGAAATTAATTAGGGAATGATCTCATATTTAAATTCAAATATGAGAGGGAAATTTATAATGAAAGAAGGCTAATTTGGAGGGGATTAATTATAAGATGTTTCCTAATTAAAGAGAGCTAGTTTGGGGGCTGATTTGAAGGGGATTAATTATGTGATATTTCCTAATTGAAGATGGTTAATTTGGAGGAGATTAATTAGGATATGTCATAGGAAATACTTGAGTTCGCAAGTAATCCTAAGGGAATACTTGAGTTCGCAAGCAAACCTATCACTAATTGGAGAAAAAAACAATGAGAATTCCGCAAAATCTGGGCGAAATCAGCCCCAAAACAATAGATTGCAATAAGAGAAACAAAGCAAATCCAACACGAAAGCAAGATACAAGTGATCCTCAATTCGAGAGGAGGATCGCCTCTCCCAAATCTCTAGACAAGAGAGTCTAGAGCCCAAATGCCAAGAAACCTTAATTCTCAATCAATCAAAACATGAATCTCCCTAATTCCCTCATCCCCTTTAGTACAAGATCTTTCCTAATTTAATTTCCCTCCTAAACCCTAGTCTCCCCACTCTGTTTGAATTTTCAATTAATTGGAATAGTGGGGCGGGCTGACCAAGTAGAGGAGCGGAAGTTTCCGCCTCCTATAAACCAGCGGCCCTTGGGCCGGCTGGTTGTTGACCGGTTCCTTGTGAATCGGTCTAACAAGATGTTTCCAAATTGAGAAAAGCAAATTTGGGGGAAGATTTGGGATGGGATTGGGGGAGGGCTGTTTTGGTATTTGTTGTTTATTGTTTGCTATAAATAGTAAGGTTTATGTTATATTTTGTATGTAGAATTTTATGTGAGGTTTGTTATAATTTTCTTTTTATGAGGGTTTCCTAGCAACGTCTAGGTTGTCTGGGAGAGCAAATCTACCCCTCGAATTGTAAATAACATGTATCTTGTTTTTCGTATTGAAGTTATAATCTAAAATCAGCCATTATTATTAGTATTTTTGCAGTTTTTTTATTATTTGTTTGTTGTTTTTGTATCCAAGGCGTATCAGAAGTATACCTTCTATGGGATCTTGACCGGGGTTTTCATCTCACTTTGTAGGTTAAGTCCCCATCTTTTCATCATTTGATCACCTCCTTTTATGCCTACCTTAGTTATGAAGCATCTTATGGCTCTATCTTTGCACATAAAGTTAGATGAGGGTCTG